CGCTCATCTCAACTACATGTGATTCTGTCTCGATAGTTTTTGCGCGGGCAGCGCAGAACCCCCACACCCCCGGCGGCAACTGTTTTTTTTTTCCGTCCAACGCCGTATGGCTTTCGCCAGGTCGTTCAACATGTGTCCAATCATGTTGCATGTGAGATTAATTAATTAATTCACGCAGGGGCCAAGCTGTAGGGCCGCAACAGGCAACTGGTAGAGGACCGATACATAGTTTTTTTTCCCTCCGGTTTGGCCGATTCGCACTAGGCTCGGTCCTTACAATTGCGTAAGCAGTGAAAAGCAGGAATGTACAAGGACACGTGTGGTCCAAAAACTTAGGCAAATCATCACAAAAACAACGACAAACAAAAAACAAAAAACCACCACAACCAAAAACGACCCGCAAATCCCCCAGCCAGATTTGCGTTTCGCCACAAAGCAAAACAGCGAAGCAACAAGGAACGGGGCAGGGCCCAACAAAACCAAAAAACGCATTCAGATTTGCCTTAGATACAGTGACCTTAGCCACCGTATCATCCTCAAAAACATGCAAACTAATTATCCATTGCGGCAGTGCGTGAAGTATACTACATGATCGCCAGGAATGTCTCACCTGAGAACAGATAAGAGAATCCAGTGTTGCAGGCAGACTGATGTGGAGCACGACAGAGGCCGCTTGTATGGACGTCTTGTCAATATCAACTCCCGCATCGCTACTGTTCATCCTGCATCGTTCAGCGTACTCAAGTAAGTCTGTTCCAGTCAATATACACCGCCGCAAGGGATTGTGATCTATTGCCCCCCCTAGATGGGGAGGAGAGTACTGACGGCCTGTAAGACATGCCAGCTGGTGTAGGCCCTCACAGGAACCGTGATATAGTAAAGGGCCCAAGACCCAAATGGGCAGTGGGTAAAAAGGTGGCTGAAAAAGCCTGAATGTCACTATACAGCCATTGCAGACAGACGAAGCTTCTGACAATAGCATGGGTTCATGAGCACAACCAGTATGCTACTGCCGAAATGTAAGCACATGTTGCATTCGCATTGCAGTCGAACTCGTCCCCCTAAGCTATGAAGGTTGAAATGGTTCGCTGTGCCAGTACCAGATACTCTGACAGGAGTCACTAGGCGTCATCGTCCCAGCAACCTGCGGAGAGGACCAGATGCAGCGTACGTTAGCAGTGTATTCCAGACCAGGCCACTCTCCCACCGAGTGGGCCATCCGCCAGGGCACTACAGAACATCCGCACAACGAACCATGTGGGCAGGCTTTGCTGCACGCGGGCGCACCAGTCTGAACTGCAGGAAGCTCAACTGGACAGCGCCAGTAAAGCTCACTGCAGTGCAGCCTAGTCCATGGCTCTACCGGGAATCTACCGCTCCTCTCGGAACAAAGGCAGAAACAACACAAGTGAGAAGGGCCCTCCCCAATACAAAGCCGAAGAAGAAGCCACAACAGAAAACAAACAAATTCAACGTGACTTAAATGGGAGGGGCGAGGGGGGGACAGTGAAAAGCTACCCCGCCTCGGACGAATCCTTAGTCACAAAAACATAAGACCAATGTAGCCAGGGTGAAACGACAGAGCTATTATGCAGGGTGGTATCCTCGGTATCCAGGCAAAAGAAACAACAAACAACACGCAACCAACAAACAAGAAACCTGCCATCAAGGGGGGGAAGAGGAAGAGGGGGGCGGTCAAAGCACCACACACTCCGAACCACACAGAAGAAGAGAGGAGAGGAGCCAGGAGGCAGCAGAGGACAGATGGAGAACGTGACACACACGCACCAGAAGGGGTACGAACGTGCCTTAGCGGTGTCCAAAAAGGGGCCAAGGATCATACAAGGATGAATACCTCAGTGAGGGAGCACACAGCACCCCAACAACACAGGAAGCATGGTGTAGAGGGACAGATCCCCACACAGGGCCACAGGCCTTTGTTGCCATGAGACACAATGAAGAGGGGAGACAATGCGCCACAACACTCCACGCACAGAAGCAAGGCAGCCAGGCCGTCGCCGGAAGCAACGATACCCAGAGGGAGGCACCAGTAAAACCTGGACCAAGGCGCCGAAGAGGACGATCCGAGGGGGAGGGGGGCCACGTCAGGCAGGAAACAAACAAACACAACAGAACCATAATACAAGGCACTAACAGCTAAGGTAGCTCTGCTAAGGGCAAAACCTAGGGATCAATAAACGAATTCAAATAGCTTAACTAGTGGGAAGGGTGGGAGAATGGTTGTCTCGTCAATACTACGTCTCGGTGTAATAACATCAGTTTCGTCACCCATCTATGATTGTCAGGCAAAGGATGCGAGGGCACGCGCCAGTGCAATAGGCTTCATGGTGGACGAGACCCTAGTATAATCTAAGCTCTCGACTGGACAGCACATTCACAAAACCAGTGCAAAGGTGGCCCATACTGCCCGATCTGTTACTCCTTAGCTGGCACTCACACCTACTGTATATTAGTGTGGCTACCAACTGTTTGAGTGGTCTGAATAGGTAGGGGCCGGGCATGCGCAGCACAATGAACCTGACAATTATACATGAGGAATCCTGAGTCCCCTGCTACATACCAGTGCACCTGTCACGTCTTTGGACAGACACACCGATATTGACAGTAACCTTAAGTGGACATGACGAAAGGACCAAATGTAAAGTAAGTCAACTCCCACCAGCATTGTTGATGAGGCAAAAGCCACATATTGCGTGAGGGACAATGCGGAGTGAAACAGAAAAGAGGGGAAGAAGAAGAGAGAGAAGGGGAGGACACTCAAAAAACGGGTAAAAGTGATGCGAATTGGGGTGAGCGGGGGATCATGTCATACCTCTCGTGAAATGTTCCAAATGATGCTTTTTATCTGATGTAATGGTGTCGTTCCATTCGTTGGTGAGCCCAAACGAAACTGGGTTCACGCTTTGCTGATCACTAGCACGTTGCAGAAGCGCTCGGATCGCCCTTTGTGTGAAAACACGAGAGCGGCGTGGCAGCTCTTTTTCACAGCTCGGACTTGAGCCAAACCACACAGGTTTGACAGCTCAGTCACTCTTCTTCTTAGAAGAGTCGTGCAGAGTAAAACGCAGTGACACTCAAACGTCTTCAAACTTCTCAAACTACTTCAAAAGAGTTCTCAAGCTTCAAAAACGTTCTTCCAGCTTCTCCAAATAAAACGTCTTCAGCTCAAACTCACAAATAACCTACAAAACTCCTACCAAATAAGTTCACAACATCAAGTTCCTAAGACATGGGTCAAACAACATCCAAAAACACCAAAACCACAAAAACAAACGAAAATCCATCTCCAAGCTCTTCCATGCACAAACTGGTTCCATTTGGTTCCAAATTGGTTCCTACCTGGTTCCTATAGGTTCCTATGGGTTCTATAGTTCACAGATCGGTTCCTACAAACTTAAAATGGTTACCTAACTGTTCACATGCACATGCATTGTTCCAAGATAGGTTTAAAGATGTTCAAGTAGGTTCAAGGTGGTTCAGTACACTGTACATCCTCTCACCAAACTTTCACACCCCTTCTTGGACAGTAGTGCTGTACACCGAAGTACCTATAGACTACCATACCGTTTGTAAGGCAACTAAGTTCTGAACCCACACAACTAAGTTCCAGACATCACCAACTAAGATCCATGCTCAACAACTAAGCTAGGAACTAGCGCACAGAAAACTCGAAAACGTCCTGGGTTTTAAAGTGTCCTCAGAAAGATGGTTATGGGGTATGGTTGGTTGGTCTCTTTCTGAGTAACCCACAACTTTGGAACTGAGTTCACAACTTCTGCACAAAGTTTTGTTTGAAAACGTTTGTCATTTGGAAACCTTGGTATTTGAAACTGTCTCACGTTTGTCATCCTCATCTCATCTAAGTAAGGGGAAACTGGTGCCAAGGTCTGTCCTCTGGGTATGGCCTTGGTGTCCAGTTCTTTTTGGGTATTGGGATAGACCCCAACGGGTACCAAGTGTCCAGGTCTCTGACTAATGGCCTTGGGAACCCTAACCCCTCAAACTAGGATCATTCAACCATAATCCAAAACAAACTGAAACATGTTTTCAAACCCGTTTTTCCAAATGCTTTGCAACGGTTTCACGTCTCTTGGAACCTTGGCTTCTAAACCCTGTAACTTGGCAGTTGCAGACCTCTACAACTTCCTTGGTTATCAGCCCAACTTTGTATGGCAAAGTCTTGGTAGCTGAGCTGAATGCATTGAGCGCTGAACAGAGGTAGCAGTGCTAAGCATTCCACAGAGTATCCAAGAGTCCTAAAACTCTGGATGGTCTTTACTAAGCGCTGGACATCCAGTTATGGAAACCCTCCCAAATCCAACATGTTGTGCACTGGGGTTCAAACCCTTCAGAAGATAAAGCCAAACCACAGTGACCAACGATCCATGGAGAAGGTCCACAACAGGAAACCCACTGCAACGCACAAGGACAGAACGTTCAGGAAGAGTCCAAAAACAGGTCAAGTTCAAGACAACTCCAATCAAGTTCAAATCAAGTTCCAAGAACATGCAATAAACAAACATGTTATGTTATGATCCTCAGCTGCAGGGGTATTTCATATGGCATTGCCATCTTTCTCATGACCCCTTGGCAGCTACATCATTGGATCATACAAGTACCTTAGTACAGAACAAAGAACAACAACAGACGACAGAGGAGTTGCAAAAACCGTCCAATGAGTCCACAAGTGTCCAACTAGTTACAACTGACATCAAAACAGATAACAGCAGTTAAACCTGATGACATCAAACTGCAACACAGTAACATGAACATCCATGCAAACTGCAAAACTGGACATCTGCAAAACCCTATCCTACTCCTAACGGCTCCATCTTACTAGACGGCTCCAGCTCTGTACAAGGATTGCTGTCAAGAAAACGAAATGAAAACTGCAAACCAAAGTACATGAAAGTGCAACTGCAAACATCGACAGTGAATCCACTCCCATGCAACTGATTGCACAACAGATTCCATCTCTCCTTTTTCAAAGCTCATCGAACACTGATGCTGCTTGGAATGAACCTCGAGCTCATAGAGCTATTCTTTCACAAGCTGCCAGGCACGTGCAGAGCTTTACATTGAAATCCAAAAAACATCAAAATTATCTATGTGACCATGCTACAAGGAAGGACTCTCAGGCTCATTGCTCCTCCCAAAACCAGCTTCATTTCACATAGATCTCGGCAGTCTCTGGCTAATTGAGTGGGACCGCCGTTCGAATGAATTCATCAGAAATCACTCGATATACCAACTGGCCCAACTGGAGAGTTCCCATACCATACTCCTCCGCCCACCCTGCCGGGATTGCCTCTCGACGAGCAGGGTTGGGCGAAACGGCCCGTACGATTTCCGTCCCATCATGGGTGCGCAGGCGAATGCGCCCTGCGCGCTGCACAACTGGCGCTGCAGGCGCTGCCGGCGCTGCAGGCGGTGGTGCATAACCAACAGAGGCCGGTGGTACAGGTGGGAAGCTCGTTCCTGTATTGGCTGCCAGTCCGGGAGTTGTCGGTGTCCCCATTGGTGGTGGTGCCAGGGGAGGATTCATCGCGCCCGTAACTCCATGGACAGCAGGGCTCGCTGCTGTTGTAGTAGGTCCAACAGGAACCCCAGGAGCTGCAATACTCGGCCCCACAGGAACTCCAGTTGATGCCACACCCGGTCCCACAGGAACTCCAGTGGGTGTCACACCAGGTGCAACCGGAGCAGCAGTCACAACATTCACCTGCCCCAACGCAGTCACCATCCTGTCTACGGCAGATTCAATGCCCTTCAGGTACTGCAGGGTTTGTTCATGCTGTGCACGTTTTTCTTCCTTGATTTCTGCCAACCTCCTGTTCCCTGTATTGATCTTGTCGTTCAAATCACGACAAAGCTCTTTCAGAGTTGGATTGACTTGGGATTTGTTCCCAGTCACTTGCCAGCTGATATTGTTAATGGCCGTCGAGTGCTGCTGCATCGATGTTAGGAAGTACTTGGCGGACACTTGGTCCACTCCTAACTGAATGCAGAGAGCATTTATATCCTTCTTGGTCTGCTGCAAACTTTCATTGGTTCCGTCCAAAGTGGACGTCGAGGCGGTGAGGCAAATCACAACGTCCTTCACAACCTTCACCAATCCATGAATTTCCTTACGAAGTCGGCTCTTCTTTGCCGGCGGCTCATCACCAGTTTCAGCTGCACGTTTGTCGGCTGGATTCGCAGCTTCCTCATCTGAGCTCGGCAAACTTGCCGCTTCATCACGAGGAGACGGCTTCGGCGAAGCTTTTGGAGATGCAACACCTCCCACATGCGTGGGTGTTGCTCCAGGCACTCCATAGGGCACGGCTTCTCCAGTTCCCGGCGCCCTTGCGCTATCTGCCGTCGCATTGGCGGTATCCGGAGCTTCAGCCACCGTATCGACCTTTGCAACTTCCGTTGAGGTGTCAACGTTACTGCCCATCTTCCAAAGAAAGTGAAACGGACGGCAATACGAAAAGCAGGTGATCTTAGATCCAGAATGCTATTGGCAACTGTGCTAGATGACAAACAATAAAACACGGCTCCCAGCATTACCTAGACGGACAGCTTTTCGTACGGCTTCACTTTACTTACCAAAAATGAAAACCAAACAACATGTTCCAAAACAAAAACAAAACTTGAGGTTTGGAAAAACTGGTGTTTCACTGGTTTTCGTTTCCGTCGTTTTGTTTCAAAACGTGTCGTGGCATGACATGCAAACGAAAAACTTTCAACAACTGCAACCTGCGTGTCAACATGTAGGCCTCCATGTGCACTACAGAAATTACAGTCTGACAGCGAAAAGTCCGAAACGAGTTCACATCACCTCACTAGTCAACATCGTCCAACAATGCTCACCAGTCGCACATGACAAAGACTGACCAAAGAACCGAGACGGAAAAGGCCAGGACACCGTCACGGAAAACAGAAAAACTCCAGCAAACCATCCAGACGGGACAACAGAAGTACTCAAGGTCCACATCCGCCGATTCGCAACAAAAGAACAGTACAAAGTGAAAACTGTAGGAAGGTTCAAAGACCTTCAGTTGGAGCAAACTGGATTCCAGGCGGTCACCTGCGATTCCAACGTCTATCGAATTCAAAACCTTAGCAAAATGCCGTTGAGTCACAAGCGAAAACAAAAGTTCCTTAGCAAAGTGCCTCAGTGGAACAGGCTTGTGTCATGCAATTCGTTCAGAAATTTCAAAATTCAGGTGCTACCGACCCTTCCAACAACAGACTTGACATCTCCCCTTCTTCGGCTAGCAACTGTAGCTTACGCTGAAAAGTACGGATCCATGACAAGCCATTTGTGTCGAGTCCTAGCACCAAACCTACGCAACAACCCTTCCATCGAGCTGATGCTGATCGCGGCCGTCGCATCTGGTTTCTAGAAAACACCTTGATGCAGCAACCTACGAACATCAAGACTCCCCCTGACACGGAGGCCACATTCCAAAACGCGTCGCAGAAACCAACAACGCTTCGCGGTCCTACGCTTGGCGATCCTTCCGGAGAAGGCATGGTCTGCACGCGGTGAAGGCGCGTCAACAACCAACGCAACAGTGCACGCAAAGAAGCTTCCGCTGCACCTGATGGCTTTGACTGGAATCGCGCAAGGTATGAAACTGAAAAACACAAATCAGCCCTAGACAAAGCGGCCCACGCTAACTGTCCTAGAACCCTGCGATACCGTGCTTCACCCTCCGCTGTCAGAGGCGTGTCTTCGCCCTGTTTCTCGCGATCCTTGTAGATCTCTTCCAGCTTTGGTGGTGTCTCGTTTGGTTTCAGTTTCTCGTGCCAACTGTCAATGACCCCTGTCATGTATGCTTCACTGACCCCCAGATTTTAAGGTGGATTCCCCATCCCTTTCTCGATAAATGGTTCTCCCAAAAACTGTAGGACGCCTTTCTCAAGCGCTGGAATCCTTCCAGTCAGTTTGATTCGCCAAATCTTCTGCAACTGTTGCAAGAACGATTCACCCTCTTGCGGACTTTCAGCCGCGACGAGTAAGTCGTCGACGTACACAAGCACTAAAAGCATCCCATTGGGCGTCTGCAACCTGAATAAAGTATTCTCAAAGGTGTCTTGACCTCCCATGGAATATACCACCCGCTGCAATTCGAGAAACCACAACAGTGGGGCTCGCCTAAGCCCATTCATGGCTTTCCCTAGCCATGCGATCACTCGACATCCCTTGATTGTGAGGTTCGCCGGAAGTAACACTAAGTCACAGGCTTCAGCTTCCACTGGCGCATGCATGAACGCCACAGAAACATCAGCAGTCAGCAAACTGAGATCTTTCACCACGGAAACTGCGAGCACACAACGAAGCCCGTCCAACGACGACGTTGGAGCGTAGATCCCAGCATTCAAAGCTGAGGTCCCTCCCGTAGCGAAGTCTCGCACTACAAGGCGACACCGAACGATTTCTGAAGTCTTTTGGGTCAATACCCAACGCGAGGTCAAGACCGTGACTTGCTTTTCCTTAGCTAGTGCCCAACCGTCACGTTCAACAAGGCAGCGCCCGACCTTAAGTCGCTCAAGCTGCTGTACCTCAGTCTTCATTCCCTGCTTCACCTGTTCAAAGTCCAAAGCAGCTCCAGTGAGCTCATCAAAAGAACTTTCAGGAATGTCGACTCGAACCTTTTGACCTCCAAAGTCCTCTTCAAAGAAATCACCATTTCCCTCACCGACAGGGAAAACACAACCAGACTCTCTCAAACAAAAGGTGTTCCACACATCAGCTTGTGTTTGAAGAATAAGGTTGTTCAACCACGCATCCCCTTCTTCCTCCTCAGATCCTTCCCCTTCTGAACCCTCATCGACCCTGTCGATCGTCATGGGCTCAGGACCTTCACCTATCTCACCTGCATCTACATCCATGCCATCAGCTCCATCTGCAATGGGCTGTGGAGACACCTCTTCCCTTGGGAAAACCGGTGGATCCAACTCTGGTGGAAAATCAGGTGGTGGTAAAGCCTGTTCTGCCTGTGGCGCCTCAAGACGTGGTTCTGGGAAGTCCTGTGGCCTGACGCCTGCCAAAAGAGGAAAAAGAGATTCAACATCATACTGGAGAGGTTCCTTCAGTTTGAAAGAGTGACCCTTGATCACCTCACGATACCCTTCAGCATCAACAGAAAATGGGTACCCCAAACAACCTCCACCAGTCACATACCTCATGCCGAGAAAATGGCACAACACCAAACGCTGACCAGGCCATTTTGCAGGGTGAATTGGTTTCAAAAACCCAACTGCCCCAAAAGGATAAGACCTAGGTGCCTGACCTCCCCGTTTCTCTCTCAAACGTTCTAAGGGGGTGCTCCCAGCCTTTCCCTCACAGTATGCGTTGTACGTCCTGTAGACATGTCCCACCAAATATCCCAAAAGGGGGGATTCCAACGCAATCCTGGCATTGCAATGGCGTTCAAGTGCCAACCAATTGGCATAGATCCCTTCTTTCATGATGCAAACGGCTCTCTCGATGCCTTTTGCCTGGGGTCTTGCCTCTGAAATGTTTCTCCAGTGATAGCCTCGTGCTGAACTAGCTGCAAGGCCTCTTTCAACCAAAGATTTCAGTGCTGCCTCATTGTCAGTAGCTACTTCTACAGACAACCCTCCAACACCAATCTCATTGAGAACTGCTGCAGGGGACTGCACGTCACGTTCTTTATCACCTCCACAAACCACCATGCCAACCATCCCAGTGTGAACCATCAACAGGACCAGAACTTTCCAATGTTTCCCTGCTACAAAAAGGAAATCAGCAGCAAGACTGTGGGGTGTTTCATGCTTATGACCTACTCTCCTAGCAGGTGTGCGTCCTCTTGACTGCACGCAATCATCACATCCCCTGTCATAAGGCCAATGGCCCCTGCACTCATGTTCCAGCCTGAGACGTCCATCACCCAATTCAGGGACACTGCACTCCAGATCTGATCCCTCTGGACCATCTGGTGTGTCTGGGCGTTCTGGCAAACCAGGTTCATGGGGACCCCAACCCTCCAAATCTTCTGAATTGGCAAGTGATGGGGAACCAACTTCAGAAACCTCACCTGCCTGAGGTCCATCACCGTCATCCATTTCATCCTGTGTCAAGTCCTCAACCTGAGGAAAACCACGCATCATCCTAAAGCAAGGGTCCACAAACGTCCAGTCACACCTGCATTTCCGATCAGATTGACCTGAACTTGTCCTCCCTTCATGGTATTTCCACTCCATGTGTCCAGATGTGCCATGATCTTCTTGACAAAACTCTTCAAAATCACAACATGACATGTAATCATCATCACTGTCTGTCGTTTCAGATGCACAACACGACATGAAATCATCTTCACTGTCTGTCGTTTCCTCGTTTGTTTCAACGTTTGTCTTAAACAAAACGTCTGTTTCAATGGTATTGGGCTCATGATCATCAAAAACATGCTGAAAAAGACGACTGCTTCCAAAATGAAACATCCTACAAACATAGGAAAACGACTGCAACATGTCTGCACTCTTCATCTGAAGCTCCCGACGTTTGACCTTGACCTTGGAAGAACCTCCTGACCTACCCTTGGTGACCTGCGCAACCTCCTGAGTGGCAACATGATTCACAGGGTCCTTAGTCAAAGAGTCCTTAGTTCCCTTAGTTACCAGGTCCTTAGCCACAACATCCTCAGGGACAACTGCTGCAACTGAACTACAACCACAACAAGTGTTTCGTTTGGTTTGTTTCGTTTCAGTGCTGTCAGTGTTCACAGTGTTTCCAGTGTTCATGGTGCTCAAGTCCATCGGTGCTGGTCCAGAACCCTTCACACCACTCTTGTGCTTTGAAAGCAAACTGACTTTCAGCCACCATGCTCTCTCAGAAATCTTCAAAGGAAGTTTCAATTTCTTCAAAAACAATCCACTCTCCTCAGCATTGCCAAGGACGGTCTTCCAACCAGTTTCCAAAAGGGCGTAAGTTGAGATCACATTCAAAGGAATTCCTACCACTACTACACGCTTCATGGTAATCTTCGTCTTACCTACCTTGAATTCCAGATCTACAACCCCTTTGACAGGCAGATCATTGTCTCCTGCACCCTTCAAGCTTGGAGATGGACCAGGATACTCAAAACTCACAGTGTAGTGCTTGACCCACTTCTCAGAAACGATGTGGTATGCCCCTGAGTCTACCAGCCAGCAGGTCTTAGGATCTCCTATCCCTACACTACCTACAAAACCCTCCAGTGTGCTGCTCAGGTGGTGTGTCACCGGTCTCTCAGTACTCGATGTCCCTGTGGCCCCCTTTGGCCCACCAGCATCTGATCCAGTCTTCCCTGCAAACGATTTGACTACCATAGCAGCCTGGTTTCCACCCTCCTGCTCAACTTCTGGTTCTTGAGACTCCTCAGCCTCACAAGGCTCTTCACCTTCTTCAACTTCTCGAAACTTTCCTCCTTTCCCTCGACCTTTGCC